GGGGAGCTCGCTACAACGCGAGCTCCAGATCCCCCAAGCTACTGAGAAGGGATACTCCAAGATTATTTCAGCTCGCGAGTTAGGGAAACCAGCTCGCTCCAGCACCTAGGCAGAAGAACTACACTAAAGACCAACCTTGATAAGGATTATCTCGAGGTACCCCTAAGAGCTTGCTACAAAGTAGCTCGCGACAAGGATAGCCCGCTATGAAGTAACTTGCGACTCTGATGCAACGCTCTCAAGAAGCTTCCATCTAACAAGACCGTACTCGTTAGGCTGTGCTACGTCTCTCGACTAATGGCGCAGTCCCTGCCCGATTGACAGTCTACCCCACGTTTCTCGACAGATGGTGGCGTGCCTGTCCCTTCGAAGACGTGTCACTCAACCAAGCGGGTAGTACATTGTAACAATCACCTGCGCAGTCCTGGCAGATAACGACTGCGACAGGAGCCCAGTGGCGATTATGCCTGATTTGACAAGAACGCCCCTATAAAAGCCCTTTAAGCAGAGAAACATACTCTCTCTCGAATTAGATCTAAACTTGCACTCTTACTTGCTCATAAGCTAATCTCGAGACAGTGATCCAACGCAATCTACACTCTTAGCCTTTTATACTCTCTCTTCTTCCTCCCAGCGTTCTAACTTAAGCTTTGGAGTATTCCCGTCGGGCAAATCCCTGGAAATCCTTCTTCTTCATCTTCTCAGGTGTCATTCGTTGCCAACAATGAGCCAGTTAACAACCAGCTAGGAGTGCCCGATTGAATCGAGTCGATTTGGGTCGGTTTTGCTTAATAGCATGTCGATTTCAGTTTACTCTTTAAGTAACCCGACTAGATCGGGTTGATTGAAAAAAATCTATTAAACCGACCCAATCCAACCCATGAACAGCTCTACCCTTGAACTAAACAATAAAAACCCAAAAAAAGAAAGAAGTTGAATTCAGATAATGTCAGGAAATGTTTTGATCATGTGGCCCGGCATGGCCCACTTTTGTGGTGTCATCCACACTGTAACGGGCCTTGCCGACAAGGCACTAAAGTGCAAGAAGGGGCCCACCACGATTTTCTTTTTAATATGAAGAAAACGATATATTTAAGAAACTACTTAAATGTACCATACCTTATATAGGATGACCCACATAACACTATTACACTAATAAGCCATCTGTTAAAAGATATGTTAGAGAGGTTTGATACATAGTTAAATTCTTTTATAATTCCATTTTTACCCTTTTTCTCTCAAAAGCGGCAGCTCTATTAGATTATTAGAATGGAAGCGGGAGCGGCAGCCACCATGATCAACAAGATGGCCCCAAGCCAGTTTGCTGACAAAGCCCCCCAAGTCACCACACGGCACAGGCCTTGAGAACAAAAGGGAAGGTATGTCCTTCCTCCACCCTGTGTTGTTACCCACCACATATGTCGTTTACGCTGCAAAATACTGTAGCAGAGATGTGTTGCCTGCTTCCATGGAGGAGCAGAAATCAACTCCGTTTGAACCGATGATGCAATGACATTCTCCACATACTTTGGACCTTGACGTGGTAATAACATAGCAGCGTAGAGGTGAAAGACCCAGCTGACCCAAGTTACCAGAAAGGAACATTTCAAATTTCAAAGGTTTGAATTTCAAATACTGACAACCCTCTTCTTTCTATTTTCAGAGGACTCTATGGTGGTGTTTAAGGGCTGAAAATTGTAGAATTTGACTGTACAAGAGAGTTTCTCTGAACTTTTTTAGGAAACTAATTAATGGTTCTATCGGTTCAAGGCTTTGTGAAAGGGGTTCAACAAAAAGAAAGAATATGGCATGTTTTGAAAATTTAATGAACAGTAAAGGACATTTTTGTCTTTTACAAATTATCCATTAGATTTAACGTTTGAAAGGTCAACAAGGTATATATAAGTAGGATTTGAAAGTTCAGGATACATTTAAGTAGTTTCCTAAATACACAGGGTATATATAAATAATTAACCATATATATATATATATATAAACAATCAACCAGTATCATAAATGTGTTAACCAATCAGGTAAAATTTATCAAAAATACTAGTGAGTTTTAAAATTTATCATAGTTAAAAGAAACCAGATGACAAGATTAATCTTTTCAAGACATGTTCTAGCCACATAAAGTGCATGAACTGATCTGAGCAAAGGATAATTGTCTCATTTTAGTGCTTCAGGTCATTAGGCACACAAAAAACAATTTTATGCTCTGTATGTTATCCTACATTCTGTCTATATTTTTTTACGGACAACAGAAAAAGTTTTATTGATTAAGAGTTGAAGAATAATATATGTACAACAGAAGCTAGAGCCCCAAAGATGTTAGGCTAGTCGTTGCTACCTAATCTGACCAAGCTAATACAAACTATATCACCCATTATGAAACATTTCCTCAAAATAGGTGACCTCTGTTCACTACTTTGGCCAATGAATCAACCGAACTCTTTGTGAACCTTGAAACTCATTTGAAGGCAGATCATTGCTCCCTAGCCAAGTTAGCCATTTCCTCATAATGTGCCTATACTACCAAGATGCAGAAATTGTTTTTCAGCCATACCACTACAACTTGAAAGTCACCTTCCACTGCCACATTCCTGAAATTCAAGGGATCTGCCCAACTTCAACCCATATAGGGAAGCTAATAACTGAATATAAATAGCCCCAGATCCATGTGCCAGAAACTTCAGGATTACCCGTACTACATCCATTACAATTGAGTTTGACGAGTTTTAACACTGGTTGATTCCGATCCACCTGAGTGATGGGGCTGTAGGGTGATGAATGTGCCATTTGCTGCCACCTTTTGAAGATATCATCTATGGAGAAGGGATCAAATGCATCTAAGAATTTTAATCAATGCACCACTTTCAGCAATATTTTATTTATGATAGCTTCCTTTGGCTCTTGCGTTTTCTGTTGCTACTCTATTTTTTTTTTTTTTCTTTTGAAGGGCTCCACAATGGGGGTAGCCAATCCCCCAACCCATAACCCCCTGCACCTTGCGTTGCTACTCTGTGTATACAAGTTTTCTTTTGCAAAGCACTAACTGAATTCATACAAGTTCAAGATGAAGATCTGTGGAGAATGTTTCTTCCATTTGGAGAAAAAATTCACCTAGCCAATCAAATAAAGTTTCATCAAGTAGAAATAAAAATTGAAAGTGAAATTAGGTAGTGAATAGGGGACATAACTAGGTGCAATGGCAAAATCTAGGACTGGCAAGAGTAAGAAGACATGTTCGAGTCTGAGGGTGGCTACTTTGTTCAAAAAATGCTAAAGGTTAGGACCATACCATTCCACTCTTCCCAAGACCCCAAATAGCTGGGACCAAAATTGGGTAATGGACTTTTAAATCAGGTAGCTGGGACCAAATTTATCACTTCATAGAGGGATTTCACGTACCTTGTGTTGTGGAAATTTATATAATGAAATTTTGTAAGTTTAGATCAACCCATTTCTGTAAACTGTCAAGTAGCAAAACCAGATCCAATGAAATCAGACCCAGCACAATCATAAATAAAAGGAGACAGAAAGGAAGAGATAAATAATAAAGAATAAAATTATGATCACAAAATCAAAGAAAGAAATACCTATTAGTATGACCCTAATATTTTTGTGATAAGTAAGCACCTGAGCAAAATGCCTACAAGAGTATGGCTCTATTCCTTGCAACAATTGATACTGTAATCATTGACACAGTCTCCACTTACAACAAAGACATTTTGTAGTGCTCAAACTTCACCATGCCTTGAATTTGCAGGACAAGGGACTAAATACTGCTGCAGTGTTGATAATCTTGATGCTCATCTGTTTTTGTATCAGCATAGTCATTAAATAAATGCTTAAAGAGGTTAAAGTGACAAAAAAACGTAGAAAATGACAGCAAGGGGCATCTAGTGAATTTGGCATACAAGATAGTTGTGAAGGCATTGCCAAGGTACCTGTGCCTTGCCCAAATGCCTTCACTTGTAGCAACTAGGCGCCTGTCCAGGTGACAAAAATGACAAGGCCAGTGCATTATTATAATATCATTTATATTACTACATCTTATTAATATGTGTGTTAACACATTCTATTATCACTTATACTTTGTTTTAATGTTTTACTATTGAATTTTATAAGATCAAACAGTTCTGAGGAGAGAAAAAGAAGGAAATAAAGAAAGAATAAAGTATAGAGGGGGTGTTTTTTTGTTTGTTATTTATTCTCTCTATCTTCGATTAAATAAAATAAAAATTCCATCCTTGTTTTCTATTTTCTATTTTTACTTTTCATCTTGAATTTTTATCATATAAAGCTAATAACCTTCTTTAGTTGCTGATTGATAAGAAGTTGCTCTATAAAATACTAATTATAGTAATACTATTTTTGAAAATATTGAAATTAATATATCTAAAAGATTTTTTATCTTTTAGAAATGATGATTAACTAAGTTTTAGAGGAAATTTAATGTTCTTAATAGAGAGAATTTCCATTTTTTCAATTAATATGCATGCTGAATGATATATAAAACTAAGGAACTAGCAAAAAGTTGGTTACCTTTTTTTTTTGATAAATGAGTTAGTTTTTTAGTTACTTATATTACAAAATTTTTATTGCCTAGGCAACTAGGTGCCCCAATGTCACCCAGAATCGCCTAACTGCCTTGATAACAATGTCATAGGTGATGATCCTCAAAAAAAAAAAAAAAAAAACAATGTCATAGGTGATTACCTCAAGCTCATGGTCTTTGACAGCAACTCTACTTCCACTTCTTGGAAAGGATCCATCTGAGTCAAGATAACTTAGCTGCAAATTTTATTTCGTTATTTTGTTAACTTCTAAATGCACCAGTAGCACAGGAATGAGATACTGAAAATTAAATTTCACACGCAAATGAAAGGAGCTACCTTTCAATCAGAAACTGGTCCGTTGGAATTTTTTGTGCCACAATTCTTTTTGGTAAGTTATGGGTAGATGGGGCAAAGAAAGAGTTACGTTTTCCAAGGGTAAAGTCACTGTCAGCATAGCTTAAAAATCATTAATAATTAAAGGCACAGAACAAGGTTGGACAGTATATTCTCTCCAGAATAAATCATAGGCTACGATTTTCCTCAAGGTGGGGAATTTGTACCAGAAAAAAACAAATACAAATTTGCCACAAGTAAAATTCTCTTTAATGAATGGGTTTTCTACATCTACAAGGAAGAGCCATAAAACAGAAAACTAAAGAAGCAAACTACTGAAATGGTGCTATCTTCTTCTGTGACAACCTCTTTTTAGCCTCCATAATAGCATCATGTCTTTTCTTGGAGATATGCTTCATTGCTTCCTGGTACTGCAATTCAATCATTTCTAATTCCATTCTTATCTCCTCATCAACATCCTGGTCAGCTAAAACCAGTGTGGAAGAATTGTTTGGATAACTTGAAAAGGTTGGCAAGTTAACACTCCCTGTGTTGATACAAGTATCTTTGTCACCAATGCAGACACCCATTTCAACTTCAGATAAGGATTCTAAAACTTCTCTTTTCATCTCATATTCATTGTAATCCATACACTCAGACTCCGGAGTCATACACCTGGTGATGGGGTACTTCCTTCCATTTCCTTCAGTAGAGACTGCAGAAATTAATGAAACCCCAGAACTTTGATCATCCACAGTGGATGTATTCCGAAAACCAAAATCAGGAAAAGACATAATTTCATCGAGGTTTCCATGGTCCACAACTTCATTCATTGGCTGAGTGGATCCTTTGACAGAACTAGAATCTTGACAAGCCAGAAGACTTGAATGGTTGACAGCTTCCAGATCATTTTGAAATGATTGAGCTGAACTTTCTCCATGTTGAAGTAATTGATATTTTCTATGACCATTTGGGCTTCGGATCTCATTCAGAGCAAGCAGCTGATGAATGGGAACACAAGGCTTCCAATTGGGTACCAAGTTTATTAATAACAAATCAATCAACTCAGCTATAAACATAACATTCTGATCAGCTAGTTCTAGTTGCTCAACCATTTCACTAGAGACTGAAAGGGCTGTGTCACTGTTGAGATAAAACAGGAAATGAATATTCCTTACACGTCCTGCATCAAGAGCAGGAAAATTAGGCATCTACCCATAAATCTAAAGATATGAGTCTAACAATGAATATGAGCACTAAAAGTTAAATTATCATTATGTTTACCACTCTGATCAGCAATCCGCAGGATTAGTGAGACAGAGTTCTCGTCACTCCTCTCCCCTTTCAATTTGAAGTCATTGCCACTGTTTGTCCTCTGAACCTCCAAACACGGGAAGCGGGAATCCCTAGCAACAGAATTCTCAATGAATGCAACGGCAGGTGGCTCACCATCATCAGTGGCATCAACCTCCATGAGAAGAGGCATTTTCTGTGTACTAGTAGGTAACTCTGAGAGCACACAGCGGTCCCCAAATGCCCCTAATCTGGGTGTAACAATATCAGGAAGTGGTAGTGGACTATTCCTGGAAAAACCATCCACTTGAAGAAAAGGGTCCTTCAAGAGCTCCTTTGCTGGCAACCTTTGAGATGCAGGAAGTAGACACTTCTCTATAAACATTTTCACTTGCAGATCTTTCACCTTGGCAAGGGAAGCAGGTTTTATTCCCTACAAAAGCATTGAGATGTTAGTTAAATGTTGGGTGTAGCAGTAAATCATTATAAGCTAATGGAAATAAAGAAGTCTCTATTATAGTTGACTTACAGATGAAACTTTCTTATATATTTGAGCGGAGTTTTTACATTCACTGTAAGGGTATTCAAATGTTACCATCTCCAGCATGCACATTCCGAAAGAGTATATATCAGCCAACTCATTGTAATCCTCTTCATAGAGCTCTGGTGCCATAAACTCAGGGGTTCCTGCAAAGACCAACTTCAAATATTACTATGACAGAATAAACAAACAAATACTCAAGGAATGCACAAGAAGAGTCCTTTGTCAGTCCTCAAATGCAAGACATGAGGGAAAACACATACATAATGATGCTTAAAGTCTTACTTCATTTCTGTTACCATGTGTACCATTCATAAACTAGCCATGATAATAAAAAACAGGAAAAACAAGAGCATACCAATCACACTTCTTGCATTGGCTTGTTGCATAACAGTTGCCAAACCCAGATCTCCAATCTTAACTTCGCCATGGTTACCATTAATAAAGATGTTATCACATTTCAGGTCTCTATGTATAATTGGTGGATTGTGTCCATGGAGATAACTCAAACCCATCAAGATCTGCTTTGCCCACCCCTTCATGGCTTTCATGTCAACCTTCTTATGTTTCTTACGATACCTAAGTCAAGCATTGCATCAAATAACCAAATTACTAATTCGTTACAGAACAACAAACAGAACCATTATGTGGAAACAAAAAAAGAAAATAAACTTACCGTCTCAAGCTACCCGAGGTGAACAGTTCAGTAATGATGTTCACAGTCTTATTACAATCATCGATCCATGAATTGTAGAATTTAATTATGTTGTTGTGCTTTAGAGACTTCAAGAGGTGCACTTCAGAATAAAGTCTTTCTAAGTCTTCTGGTGACTGTAATACATCATCAATCCGAACTTGGTTCCAAGCTACTTCAATTCCATCACCTTCATCAAATGCCTTGTAGCTATAATTTTAACAAAATTAAGGAAGGCATGGAAGTAATAGGGTTGAGACAATAATCACGAGGAACTAAAATATACTAACAGGTTTAAATAAATTAAAAATTAATGCAAAAAAAAACAAGTCCAAATAAATTGAAAATTGCCGAAAGAGAAAAAAAGAAAAAAGAAACAAAACAGCGCTGTTGATAAAAGAAAAGGATACACAGTTTTGTAAGCTCCTTTACCCAGGACTTCTTTATACTGTTACAATATGAAATCAATTAGTCAGAAAATCTTTAAAAAAAAGGCTATCGGAGACAAATTTAGCAATAAAATATTCAAAACTGTACCCGAACATATCGATTAGTTGGATCAATTTCAAGAACGTCAGGGTCAGGAGGCTCGGGATGACCGGAACTCTCTTCTACCCCTTCCATACCAACAAAAGTCATCGTACCAAGCTGCTAAAAATCATTGAGATTCAAAAAGATTAATAAACAAGTGTAACAGTAATTCGAAAACTGAGAAAAACTCAAATTTTCAATTGCAACCCAGCTGCAATTCTAAACTGTTACAGCTAATGTTTCAAACCCCAACCCAATATAACCATCCTCAGAGCATGCATTCTATATCACAAGCATTAACGAAATTCAATAAAAACCAATCATACCATTCACAGAAAACCACCAAATCCGACCAAAAGCAACGCCTTAATCAACGAAAGGCATGCATACACAAGGATTGGATCCTTATAAAAAACAAAAAAAAAAAAAGAAAAATACCAGCAACACAATCTGTTCTTCGTTGGTCAGGCGAGATAAACCCTAACCCTAATTAATTCGGTGAATCCAGGTGTCTGTTAACCGATTGTAACCACCGTAGTGAAACAGCACAGCATCGCTGTGTCTCGCACTCTCGAATTCTCGTTCCCTTCTCTCCTCTCCGCTCTGTACAGGTTTGCAAATTTTCCCTTCTGAGTGATGCTGCGTAACCTCAGGATCATCGCGTGTGCGTCGTTACTGGAATCTGAACCGTCCATATCTGTCTAGGGTTGGTTCTAAGCGTCCGATTGGTATTTTTATTAAGAATAATAGTCTTTCCCTATAAAGCAGTTGTTTGGGGCGCGAAACTGAGAAAGAGAGAGTATCCAAATCCAAGTATAGATAGTAATTTTGCTTTGATTTGAATTAAAGCTCCCTTTCTGTGGGGCCCACATGTGACGGATATTTTTAAGTAACCGCCAGAGTGGTGTTGAGTCTGTAGATTGTAGACATTCATGCCCAAAAAAATGGTTAAATTACAGTCTGCCACCCTGTATTTGGATTGTGGTACTTGGGGGTTCAAGCTCGAGGTTCGAGCATCCTTGAGGCTCGCAAGACGGTTCGAATAAAAAATATTTTTATTATATATATAAAATAATATATATAATAAAAATATTATAATTATTAATTATTAGGATTCTTAATTTTTTAAATATCAAATAAAAAATATTTTTATATATAATTTTTTATTTTTATAAAATATTTTTTTCTCAAAATCGAGCTCAAGTCGAGCCGAGTTTGAGCTTACGAATTTTTTATTTGAGCCGAGCTCGAGTTCAAGGTTCTAGCTCGAACCAAACTCAAGCTCGAGCACGAGCCTTGTAGAACAGTTTCGAGCCAAGCTCAAGCCTCATACTATTCAGTTCGGCTTCGTTCGAATCCACCCCTGATGGTACGAGTCCGGATCTTCTGCCCACGTTTATCGCAACCACACATGGAGAACATTTCATCCTTTGCATAGTATTATGCAAGGGGAGATGTTCCCAATTTATGGGGGATAGTGTGTTGTGGGTAGATGTGGGCAGGGTTCTCGTGGGTAGGAGATCCGGATTGTGGTGGTACTGCCCCCACCCCATACTTTAATTTGTACCCAAAAAAAAAAATCACTCTAAACTTTTTTTTACCCCTGCTTTATTAACAAGCTTAAATTGATTAACTTAAGGCTCACTTTGGAAGGAGTACAAATGAAAAATATGTAGAATGCAAAATTATATATTTTGTATGTATTTGTATTGTACATATTTGTATTTGTATTCCTTCTAAATTAAGCTTAAAGGTAAAACTAAAATATTCATTTTTAGTTCAATGTGCAGAGGGAAGAAAAATTAGAAAATATCAAAATAATGAAAATAGGCATGCCAAGCATATATCTCTTGTATTTTTAGTTTTTTTTTGTAATTTTTAATTTGTTTTATTGTTTAGTTTTTGTTGTATCTTCTGTAATTTTTTGTTTTTTCATATTTTATTTTGTTTTTCTCTTTTTCTACTTTTTTGTATTTTATCAACTTTTTGTAAAATGGTCTAACATAAGGATAGTTTAAGGTTTTAAAAATGTTTAAATGTAGACTGACAATTTATGAGAATTTTTTGTGAAGTGAACCGACACGATGGCAGGGGCCAAATGTTGGAATGTAAAAACATGGTTTTCAAAACCAGATCGGACCAGACGGTCACCGGACCGGAAAAACCAGGAATCGGTCAGGTGACCAGTTTTGGTTTTCCCCAAAATCAGAAATTTGCTCAAAGTCATTGATTTTGTTTAGCAAACCGCTGACTTGGGCGGTTGACCGCTTGAACCGTTCAAACAATTTTGATAGTTTTTTTTTTATTTTTTTAATTTTTTTTGTCAGAATGGGCTGACCAACCCAATAACCGGATCAATGACTGATTCGGTCTCTGGATCATTTTTAAAAAGCATGACTACAAGTTTAGGGGGGCAAAGTATAACCACCCGCAAATTACAAGGTGGTCCTATGTAAGTTATAAAAAAAAGAATACGAATGTTGAAGTGGATTCCAATTGGACGGAGATGAATGTTCATTTTGATCTAATTAAATCTTAATAAACTAATTGCATTGTTCAACTTAAACCCATGCATCTAATTTTCAATTACCCCTCTTCAAAAGATCACTCTTCTTTGGGGGTGTAAGCGAGGGGAGCCTACTCTCAAGTCGTTGTACGTGAACGGGGATGCTATTGTGAGTGTGTAGAGGACAAAAAGGTAATTAGAGTTAGAATGACTTATCGGTTGATGCGTATCTAAAACATTATTTTTAAGCAGAATTTCGTCTCCTCGTGATCAAATTTGGTGCAATACAGGAATTCTAGCATTCTACTCCAAGATTCAATTCAATTCAATAGTGCACTCAATAACCATGCACTCTGAATACTGAATCTCACGAACAACAGCAATCCCACAACTCGAAAATGGAATGCAAAATGCAAAATGAGTGAATACAGAATGAGGTTCGTTTAAAACGGAAAAGTGGCGACTCTTCTGAGAGATCCATTAAAGGTTATGACAGAGAGGTGCAAATTCAAATGAAAAGTCAGTTTGTTTAAAACGGAAAAAAAAAATACTTGTTTGAATTAAAAAAAAAAAGCCATTTGTTTTAGTAGGAGACACAACACCTTTACAAATTCAAAAAATTGAAGTCATAAAAAGGTAGGTGGGTAATCCACACCCACACCCACGACCCGGCTCATCTTGACATGCGCGTGTGCAAGAAAATTTCTAACCACCACCAAGCTAAGAGAGTGTGTATGTATATAAACCCCATTTGGGTCCCCATAGACCATCTCCTAGTAATAAACTCAACACTTTTCTTATAATTTTCCCAAGTGGGATTCAAGCAAAGCTAGGAGAGGAAAAATGGCTTAAGAGTGGAGGAAAAATTTGAAATTTGAAAAAAGTCAAATAGACTTGTGTGAGCATGAAACAAGTGTGGGTGTGTGCAACCAGTCCAAAATACAAAAAAGGTTTTTGAAAAGACAAAACTATCTTTTCCAAACTTTTGAATCACAACACCTAAAACTACTACAATCAATCCCCCACATGATTCAAAAATTTAAAGCAGAAAGTGACATCAAGTGAAGATTCTAAAATAGAACTGTAATGATGTAGGTTTCTTTTGGACTATGAACCTACACTTAGGATATGCAAATCAAGACCTACAAAAGCCTGATGGACTAAGCCTTTAAATTGGTCTTCTTTAACTGGCAAATTGCTACATGTTCAATGGGGTGGCACTAATTTGGCCCTACATCATCCTAGTTTCATGAGCTTATTAGAAAATCGACCTAAGTTTTCATAGGAGGTGGTCTCACCTCTAAGCTCACATAGGTCCAAAATAAATAATATAAGCATGAGCTGCTTAATCACATAAAATTGATAATAATAAAGGATTCATTAAGAGTATGCCACTTAAACAAAAAGCAACGAACACTTTTAAAATGAGATAGGGACAAAATAAATATTTATAATGCACAATGGGTCATTCGGTGACTTCGTTATTCCCATATGAACTTAGCTTATGGGATCTCCACTTGCATAGATTGGGTTCCCATCACTAAAGACTTCTAAAATAGGCATAAGTCCCATACCTATAGGAGATTCAAACACTAGTTTCCTAGGAAGAGCTTTGGTCAAAAGGATCTACCAGGTTCTTTTCTAATCTTACAAAATCAAGGGATATTGTCCCATCAGAAATCAATCTTTTTACTATATTATATCTCAATCCGATATGTCTATTTTTACCATTATAGGTCTTATTCTTTGCTCAAGCAATAGTAGCCTAACAATTACAATGTAGTGAAATAGAGGGAATTAGCTTTTTACATAAAGGAATATCGACTAAGAAATTTATCATCCATTCAGCTTTAGTCCTATCATTTTCCAAGGCTATGAATTTAGATTCCATGGTGAACTTAGTTGTACAAGTTTGTTTAGAGGAATTCTATGACACAACACCAACACCAAGTGTAAAAATATAACCACCAATACAGTTAGATTCTGTTGAGAAAGTTTAAGCAAGGGTGTTTTTAGTCTTTACCTCTTCCCTTTGTACTCTTTTTGTATTTGGGCGCCTAAGTAGGAGCCTCTTTGTAACTTCTTGTTTCAAAATATAAAGTGTCTTTTGAGGGTGTGAGCAGTAACAAAAAATACACCACTCGACACATTCCTCTTCTTCATCTCATTTATCTCTTTCTTTTTCATATAAACTCTAGATTTACAACACTAGTTTCCAACTTGGTATCAAAGCGAGTAGGCACTTAGGAATACCTTTCTTGCTGACTCTCTTTCATGAGATTAACTGCTGACATCAGATCGCCATCGGATGACGTCAGCAGTCCGTAAACGTGCCGGTAGCAATACATGAATCATATATGGTTTGATTTGCCCTGATTTTAGAAGGTTTTTGGTATAACTCTTGTCTTTATTCAAAGCTTCTATGATTTTTAGTAGATTTTTCAAGCAGAAAATCACAAAAAAATCCAAATTTGATGTCAAGCCTTATACACTTTGTTTGATCAGTTTTTCTACTGCAAAACCTAGACCATTCAGGTCATTTTTTACCTTGGGAGCAATGGGAAGTGGTCCCATGTTTTTCTAAGCCCTAGACAATTTTTGGGAGATTTTCTTCTCCTTTTATTTTGGTGCCAACTTAGTTTTTTGGCCTTTTTTTTGCCTCTTAACCATGTGGTGGCCTAGTTTCTTGGGTCCTTAGATGTGGTTAAGTATTTGGGGCCACTTTTGGTTGATGCAAAAGTGTTTTGATAGATTATGAAATCATCTAAGGATGTATAGATGGTTTCTAGTGTGTTCCCGAGAAGTGCAAACATTTCCAATGGTATGATAACTACTATTAAACTTGATGAAACCAACTTTTTAGAGTGGTCCCAATTTTCTAAACTTATCATCACTGGGAGAGGGATGGGAGATCCATCATATG